CTAGTAGTAATACTAGGCCTTAGGGGCAATAATAGCATTTATTAAATAATATTTATATCATTTTTATGGTCTGTTTAAAATAATAGCAGATGACAATTTAGCAGATAGCCTACATAGGAAACAGACGTCGTTGTCATGTTATCCAGTAGCCTACTGACACACTGAATGAGCAATCTTGTAAGCTAGGCCCAAATAAATTGGTTATCTGCTGCGCGGATAATACACCGAAGCGCTTGACAAATCGCATTGGACCTGCCAAAAGAAGAGGAGTAAGTAGGCCTAGGGCCTAGCCTAGATCCTCCTCCAGTACAGATCAGACAGCAGACGTTTCTAAGTCGCATCTTTATTCTGTTTTAAATACACATAATAATATACAGGTACTTATCTTTTAATTTCGATAAACTTTTGGTTCGACTGTGACGGCATTACTCAGCTGCAAGATAAAAAGCTGGATTTCTCAAATGGTACTTTGTTTATAAACACATCACACCGCATTGCCATTTAGGGGATAGGGACTCCCCAACCAACCCAAGGACTCCCCAGTAATGGCGTCGACAACAGAGGGCGCCATTCTTCTTGGATAGGTCTATACCATCCTTGCTAGTCTAGGCCTAGAGTAGGATAAGGCTAGCCTAGACTACTCCTAGCGCTGTCGAGACGAGTCCGAGTTTACACCTTACCTCTTCCACATGCAATGTTGTGGTCTAGAAATCAAATTAGCAAAAACATTTAAAAACATAGAAGCGTAACATATATAAAATACATAAAAAATCTATTTAGATGGGTCAACAATTTGTGATACATTTTCAAAAGTGGAGTACAGTACTAATCTAACTTTATTACAGTATACATTGTAGACTATTATTACAGTAAGGGGTGTATAAAGTTGGAAATGTCACATCCATTTTTTTAAAATCTACCCTCTCCCCATAAAACACATTTTGAACAGTAAATGTCCTTTGGTGTTTATTAAAATACATAGGATTGATGTTTTGCCCTACCTGACGTAATATCGTACCGAATACTCAGTACGTCCCCAAATACTAGCGAAAAAAATTCGCAAGTGATTCGGGTGGGAATCGAACCCACGACCTCCAGGTATCTAGCCTGATGTCTTAACCACTAGACCACCGAGCTTGCGATTGGTGACGAGTGATGAATCCGATCCCCTAGTAGCAGCGGGTACTGCAAGTGCTATAAAGATATG